GCAGGATGAGCCACCAGATAAGCAACCTGCCCCAGCCCCAGTCCCAGCCCCAACCCCTCCCTCACTGCAGGGGCCTTCATCTGCCCCCCACATCCCTTCCCTTCCCCCTCCCCTTCTACCACACCAGACTTACTAGCTGGATGCAGCTGTATCCAGCATCATAAAGTCGAAACCTATGGTGGAAGGTCGAAACAAGGTCTGAATTTATTAATTTCTTAAGTGCCGTTCATCCTAACTTGAAAAGTTGTAAGTCGAGGACTGCCTGTAGTTGCACGAGAGTCTTGGGAGGGAAGGAACTATAAAAGTGGTGTGGGCAGGGAAATGTGGTGGACTTGAGAGGATGTGTCCTTGAAAGTGACTGTTTGCAGCCCAGGGACTGCTCTTGACCCTGTGAAAATTGTTCCCAATGTGTATTCTGAGGACTGAATACCCAGTGTGTATTCTGAAGGAGTGTTACATCCTTCAGTCAAGCCCATGCGGTAGTTGTATGATAAGCAGCGGGTAATATGACTAATTTCTGCTCATATTTCATTCTCAAAGCTTTTACACTTTGCTGGTTTGGGCTCAAAAGGATCTGTACAGGACCTGTTGAGGGCATCTTTAGCTGCTCACAACACTGACTTGGGCCCTAATAAGATGAAATTTGAGGGAAAATAAGTCCACCTCCTCAGTCAGAGGAACTAAAGAGAAACTTGGGTGTGCTCATCTCAGTGCATAGAATCCACACACATTTTTCATCAGATATATTCTTAATATAACATTCTTGTTTGAATTTGGAAATTAGGCAACTCTCCCTCAGTTTCTCCAGTCTGATAGGTAAGTATCCAACCTAGATTAGGAGGAACCTATTAAAGCCCTCATGTGTGTCTGACTTTGCAGTGATATTACATTAAGGTTTTATTTTGAAATATAAACATCCTGATTATGAAGGAGACAGCTTGGAAAGCACCTGAATGGTTGACATTGATCACCAATAACCTGAGAGGAATCTTCTACCACCAACACTCTTACCTCCCAGGCATAGAGCATGTGCCGCAGTCCCAGTTGTTTGTAGTCAATGAAGGGGTTGTATCTTAACAGAGTGAGGGCCATCCGGCTGTCATATAAGGCTTCTTCATATCTACGGTGTAGGAGAAGACAAATGAAGGTGAGAACTGGATACCAAAATTTGCAACAGAAAGTGCAAAGCTCAGGATCCAGTCTAGCAAAAAAGACTCTCCTTTTCCCAGCAGTCTGAATTAGAGGAGATTTTACTGCAAAAATGAATAAACTCTTAGTCTCCCAGGAGAAAACTGACCTGCCCCTCTTTAGTTGTCTTTATTACAATAAAGACTCTGCTTTTGACTCATAAAATCATAGAAAATTAGGGTTGGAAGGGACCTCAGGAGGTCATCTAGACCAACTCCCTGCTCAAAGCAGGACTGTCCCCAACTAGATCATCCCACCCAAGGCTTTGACTACCCAGGTCTCAACAATCTCTAAGGATGGAAATTCCACTACTTCTCTAGGTAATCTGTACCAGTGCTTCACTACCCTCTTAATGAGAAAGTTCTTCCTAATATCTAATCTAAACTTTTCTTGCTGCAATTTGAGACTGTTGGACCTTGTTCTGTCATCTGCCACAACTGAGGACAGTCCAGCTCCATCCTCTTTGGAATCCCCCCTTCAGGCAGCTGAAGTCTACTATTAAATCCCTCCTCAGTCTTCTCTTCTCTTCTCCAGACTAAATAAGCCTAGTTCCCTCAGCCTTTCCTCCTAAGTCATGCACCCCAGCCCCTAACCATTTTCACTGCCCTCCATTGGACTCTCTCTCTCTCTCTCTCTTTTTTGGGCCTCTCCCGTGACCCTCACTGGGGTAGTGGCCACCCAAGGTACAAACTAGCTAAGCCTATGACCTAAGGCGCCCGCTCCAAGGGGGAGCAAGGTGACATAAGTTGTTGATGCAAGAAAGAGACCCTGTGAGGGGATGGAGTGTGAGAGGCCCAGGTGAGAGGAGGGCGGTATGAATGTGTGCGTGTCTGAGGCCTGAAAATGAGGCCTAAGCTTGGTCCGGCTGTAGGCCGGGAGCACTGTGTCATCTGGATGGCCTCTGCAAGGCTTGGGCTGCGGTGCAGGGGGGATCAGAGCCGCAGATAGCACCCCCTGGCATCGGGGCACGAATGGGCAGCCTCCCACCTTAATTAACATCGTAATTAATTAAGAACAAGGCATGGCAGGTGAGTCAGGTGGGTGGCGTGCCCAAAGGCAAGTGGGGAAACTAGCACTGTGGCTAGTCGGGGGGCCCCACTTTGCCACACTGACCCATGAGGTACCCTTTGTCTTTAACTGGAGACGAGTCCCTGCCACTTGATGTTGTGGTAGAACATGAGAGCAAAGCAATGCACAGTTATGGTCAGCAATGTTTCACCGTGCGCAGCTATTTCCACAGCATGTTTTGGAGCCATGTCAGCTGGAACTTGTGCAGTCTGATCAAGTGCACATGCGGCACATTGCCTGTCATGCGGCCCTTGATGGCTTGCCAAAACTCAGTATCCAGCCCTCCACCCAAAATAATTGCCCGCCCCTGGCTTAGAAGCTCTTAGTCATAGGTAAAACAGGCCAGGATCAATCTTCCAGTGTAAGTGGAGTGGTACTCAGCCACCTATGCTCAAAGATGTAAACTGTGCAACAGGGGATCTAAAAGAGCATCTTTGTAGGTGGCCATGAGAATCTGGCTCAGTGTCAGCCCCAGAACTAAGATAAGTAAGCAGAGAACAGCTTGCCTTCAGCTCACCCCAGAGTTTGAGAACAACAGGTCACTTTGTGAAAGTAAGACCTGGAGAGTATAGAATGAATAAAAGGGATTACAATAATCTGGAGTTGGAGCTGGAGACCATCCAGTCCAGCTGTGCCTACAGGTTCTCATACTGATCTCCCTCCAGGGTAAATCAGGAATAGATCAAATGAAGTCAGTGGAGCTACACCTGTGTAATATCAACGAGATGATCAGAATCAAGCCCAGAGCACATTGTCAACCTGTGGAATTTACTGCCAGGGGAGGTCAGAAGGTCACACATCACGGAGGTTTTCAGAGAGGCTGATATGGGCAGTAACATATAAAATCATGTGAACAATGCGTGATTGTTTTTCCTGCTTCCCGGCAGAAACTGATTACTGTACAGTCAAGAATGCTTTTTTCCCCCTTGTGTATAAGATTGCACAATTGACTTATTTAATATTTTACTATTATTTAATAGCCATGCTGGTGGGATAACAGGTCTGTTAGATCAATTTTTTAACCTGCTATGGTGACTTCTAAATTTCAGTTTTTTGCTCAGTCACTGGTGGATTTTGGACATACTCAGATACAGCAGTTTTAGAGGAAATTTATTGTTTATCAGTTATATATATTTAGTTTTCTGACTACTTACTTTCTGGATATCTGTATATACACATAATATATCACAACAATTCGAGGCTGGTTTCTATGTCTTGCTATGCCACTAACTCACTATGTGTCTTCTGATATATCACATCCCCTCTCTGAGCCTCTGTCTCTCTATCTGTCAAATAGAGGCAATACTGAGTTATCTGATGGTGTTATGAGTTTTACTGATATTTGTAAAGTACTTCCAGATTGTTGGACCAAATGCATTTTAGAAGTGCAAGGACGTATTAACAAGAGATAGAAGCATGAATAAGCATTGCACTTACTTGTCTAACTGCAGACAGACAAACCCTCTTTGAAAGAAGCCAACAGCTAGACGATTGTCTTTGGTAACTGTTTGATCAAATGCCTAAGGAGAAAGATGCAGACACATGTTACAAATTTGTTATGCCTCCCAGTAGAGCTTGTGATTGCAAAGCTTCTGTTACAACTACAGGACAGGAGGGCTGAAACACAAGAGTGTGGGGAACAGAGAGAGCTCAGGATTTGGCTCTGTATAAGCCCTCACAGTGAGCAGGCAGCAGGTTACAATCAATCCCAGGGGAAAGTGATGGAATGTCATTGAAGTAACCCTGCTGGGCATCAGGACTGTGCAATCCATGCATCCGTGATCTGAAGAACTACGGGCCTGAAGCAAATGATGTTTTTCACCCCTGGAAAGCACCTTGCACAACTCCTTTCCAAGATCTAGAGCCAACTGAGATGAGCTATAGGAAAAAACCACATTGAGTCCCTCTTGGTTTATAGGAGGATCATTGAAAGAAGATGGTGATAGAGTAGGAGAAAGTTGCAGAGCTTGCTTTCCAAATATTTGTGCAATTGTTCCATCACAGATCTCAAAAAAGGCAAAACAACAGTGCATATATTTACATTAATGAGCCCCCCATAATTTCCTAGTCATGTCTCATTTCAAGAATTCTTAAGAGTTTATTTGGATGTGCTATGACATATGAATCAAAGGCACAGTTTTCAATTAATAAAAAGTCTTTACTGACTGGAGGAATGAAGGGGGGAAAGAGAATGAAAGAGAAATAGGTTTGGTCTGAGACTTATAGACAGAAAAAAGAATGTATATTGTACAGCACCAGATAACCATAATTTCCTCTGAACAATATGCTATATGATTTCTTCAGTTGCTCAGTCTTTCTGTCTTCCATTCTTTCTGTACAACAGTTGACCTGAAAATCCCCTAGAAAATAATATCATGCCAGTCCTCTCTGAATTCACTGTCCTCTTGCATTTTCAGATGAAAGTAAACACAAAACACATGCTTCCCTTTCAGTATGTTAGACTAATTTTGCTTTTCCTTCTCTCCCTTACCTGCACGGCTCCCTCAAGGTTCCCTGTTAAGAGATGCACACAGCCTATGTTGAAGCAGATCCTAGCAGAAGGCTCTTCGATACTAGAGAAGATTTTCAAAGCAGATTCCCAGTCTCCCTTATCCACAGCCAGGACTCCTTCATGCCAGCCTCTAACTAGGTCTCGATACGCCATTGTCCTTCAATGAACATAGGCGAAACAGGTTCCTTTCTAAAGCCCTTCAGGGACTGTTTGGCTGCTTGCCTGAAACCTCTCTTAGCTTTTTTACAAACAAGGAAGTGCAACCTCTAGAAATTCCTTTTACTGCTGAGCACATTGTTAAGACACACTTAGATTTAAAAGAAACGAATAAACCTAAAAGCTGTCCACTTGAATGTTGACTATTTTGTAACTGCAGGATATACAGAAGGTGAAAATGCCATCTCAGTGACATTGATTTAAAACCAATAGAACTTAGAGCAGGGTCTGACCCTGATGTACATATTATATAACAAATATAACACATATCTGATATTGAAAATATTAAGGCTGTTTAGAGAACAGAAAAGTAAGAAGGGACATGATGGGTATATGCATAATGGATAGACAGGAGACTGTAGAGTGAGAAGGGTTGTTTACTGTTTCTCCTGAAAATGGGAAGAAATGAAAGGCACCACATTTGAAAGTAATCATAGAGAAATATATTGTAGAATTAACTTGTGAAAGATATCATTGATTTCAAAAGCTTAGCAGGGGTTTATTTAAAAAGGGCATTTAAAATGATGAGAACATCCACATGTATGTTAAATTAATGCTTTAGAAACAAAACACTATTAATATTTTAGAAACAAAAACATTTCAGGAAAGACAATTAGTGGAAAGAATCTTGTACAGCTTTAGGAGTTTTGTTTTATTGGTTTGCTTTTGTTATAACAAGAATTGAGTTTTATTGTGATCTTAACAAATCCCTGTCTATCACTTGTGAATTTCACAAGGTTTCTCATTCCTCTCCCAGAAAACTCTTAATGGTGAATACCTCTGGTATGTTACCATCTCTCTTTTTTCTCACAACCAGTTTTCATAAAGAAAAAAATTATGAATATAAACCTTCAGGCTTTGGGGCATTATAGCCATTGAGGATTTAGGAAAAAACATCCAGTGTTAGTGAATTATTCCATAATTCTCAGTTATGGAAAACCTTTCACTTGTCTTTTAGTACCTAGTACTTTGTGTCAGATGCATGAAACTGAAGTAAATCTACCACTGGTCTCATCTATGTCATATTTTTAATATCAGTGAGGCATAGATAGAGGATGGGGTAGTGGCAGCCAGAAGTGGAGTGGAGAGAGAGGATCAGAAATCCACTCCTTCCATGAACTCCCTCTTATCTCACACTACTTTCCTCTTCAACCACAACGTGTAGGTCTGACTGTGACAGAACCCAGGGAGTGCCTGTTGGCAAAGGGGGATTTGAATTCGGCCGTCCTGGATTTGTTCATGGGATGAACATGTACCTTTCCCTTTCCAGTGTCTCCGTTCCTCCATTGCAAGGGTCACCAGCATGATCCATGCAGATCGGAGCTGGGATTTACCCATCCTGATACTAGATGGAGGTGTGAGCACACGTGCGTGACCTAGGGCAGAGCTAGGAGTAAAAGAGAGGCTAGAAATAGATGCTGCCAAATGAAATGGATCAGCCGTGCCACAATGTGTCCCACCGCAGCCGCTCTTCTTCGCTGGATGAAACACACATCGCCCATCGTCCCACCTATTGATACCGTGGGACAATGAGAGATGTGTTTTCCTGGACCTTGTGGGGCCCAGTCTTGTACACCCTGGGGATTCCCATGTAGGATCATCACCTCAAGCCTCGGAGCACCTGCCTGGCTTTACCAGCTTACAAGACCTGCCCCCAGAGAACCTGGGTCTGGATAAGGAAAACCCTGACTTTCCCATTTACCCACACCGGTGCCTGGAGATCCCAGGGGCAGGTCTCAATGAGCAGGTCCCCGTGTGGTGGCATGGGGAATCCCTCATCCCCCAAGCCTTCACACTGGGACCAGCCTGGGCTCCCCACATATGGAGAGGCTCCCCTGGAGATCCCAGGGACAGGTCTGGATGCGTGATCCCCGAGCGGAGGCACTGGAGAGCCCAGGGCAGGGAACCCCGATTTTCCCTGCTTATAGAGACGCCCCCTGCGATCCCCCAGGGTGCGTGTGTGCAGGGGGGGAAAGCCGGGCAGGTGCTCCCGGGGCTCGCTCCTGCACACGAGGTCCTGAGGTGTGCAGGATCAGGCCCCTCGAGCCCCTGCCCCAGCCCACAACCGCCGGACAGGATAAAGCAGCACCATTTACGGGCACCACAGCCTGCCAAGGGCAGAGACCAGAACAGCTTATTTGCCCCCACTGGTGCCAGCGGCCACGCAGCCAGGGCGGCACACCCATGCCAGACACCCACAACAGCGCTGCAGCAACTTAGGGGTGGAGGGAGGGGCACAGCAGCTTGGCCCCGCCCCCC